GGAAACACCTCAGCATTCCCCCGGAGGAGCTGGAGGAAGTGTCTGGAGAGAGGGAAGTCTGGGCATCTTTGCTTAGACTGCTGCTCCCGCGACCCGGTCCCGGATAAGCGGAGGACAATGGATGGATGGATGGGTAACGCCGTCTCTAATGCATTAGTGACTCAGCAAACCTACTTCTGTTGGGGGTGAAGGATACAGTTCTCGTCACCTGACCGGTTCTTGGGTGGCCCGGGCATGTTGAGAAGGACTAGCTTGGCCTCTGAGGACTTTTTGATGATGACTTCATTCAGCCGGAGAGCTGTGTGCATACGTCGCACATTGGATTGATTCCTGAGTAAAAACAAAGCAAAAGAAAAGGAGGTCAAACTGATTCACAGTCATTAAAGACTAGATATGTTATAGTCAGAGCATGTTAGGAAGCATTTCGTAATGCTAAGCTGGTGGAGGTGACAGATGACAGTATTCCATCCTCAAGTTCGTCAGTATGAGATGTGAATAGACTGAATGAGGTTTATAGGGAGTTCAATACTTACAGGTTCTCCCACTCACTGCAGCATGACAAGAAGAGAAACATGTTTATCAGTACTAAGCTATACATTTTTTATATACCTAATTCTAAGTTGCAAACAACCCTCAAATACTTTAATAACATCCTGACAGTCTTCTCTAATGCTATATTCTACAGGAATAAAAAGGCTGTGTAGACTTGACGCTCTTACTGTCAGGAACAAGACAGTAGTTCACAACAGGTAAAGGTTCAGTGAGCATTGCAAAACACTCACGGCTTCATGTTGAAGATGTCTTTGATGCCCTCTGGGGTGGCTGGACCAGGCAGCTTGTCGGGTTCCCCATCACACTTTTCAGTCCAGGTCATCTGGACCTGCTCCCCAGGGCTCTGAGCCGCCTCAGGTGTCAGTAAAGTGGCTGGGGTCACAGGGCTGGCTGGGGTTGTGTTGTCGTGGATGAGCTGGACCTGGGCAGGGGGGGACACAGGAGAAGAGGCCGACTTTGGCTATGAAACAGGAGGAAAATAGGATAGTGGATTTACATGGAAGGGTGAAAGTCAAGTTGAGGTAGAAATGTAGGAATGCAGGTCAAGTCACAGAGAGCCAGGTGTTTGAGAGAGAGGGAGAAAAGAAAAGAGTGATTAAGAAGTTCCGTGTTGTTTTCTATCTCTACATTACCTGGTTTCTTTTCCAGTATCATGACTTGTGAGAACCGTTAATCTATAACATATATTACCTTAAAATCAGCCTGCTGTTAGAACATAAATTGGCATTACTGCAGTTCAACAGAAAACGGACAATGCTACGGCAGCGTATAGCTGCCACCATGAGGAAAAAAATCTGCTTAGTATCTGGATATAACGAGATACTGGAGATACTTTTCATGTGAAAACGACATACTGTATTTTCTTGGAACAAGATACTGTATATTCTCATTATAAGGACAAAAAAACATTGGGGCTTTATGTGTCAAACCAGCTACTGTATATAAGTGCAAGTCCATTTATCAAATGATATGCAACTTCCCTAGATGCTTGGCTTTATTGCACCTCTCAGTTAGGACATTTTTTTACTTTTTGCTTGTAATGCATTTAAGCATCTAGATAATATAAATGCAACGATACTTAAAGAGAGTTAAGTTCTGCTCAAAGAGCTGATCCTACCTCTTCCTCAGGCTTCTCCTCTTTGCTTGCTGCTGGTGGTTCCTCGGTCACACTAAGCTGGGTGGTCACAGCTGCCGGGTTCTTACGGCGGATAGACCCCCGGGATGAATCTGTGATACTCTGGATCTGTGATGACACATATGAAGGAGGAAAGAAGTGACCTGAGCAGAGTTCTTTTTGAAAAGACAAACAAGTCAGGAACATGTTTGAGAATAAGAATAATTCCACCTGGATGACCGGGAAATCCTAAAGTACAACAAATAATTTGGGAGAGGTAAAAACAGAATTATGCTGAGATCAGTACTGTATGTTTTCCACGTGTCAAAACACCATCATGCTGTCACAGACAAAGGAAAGCAGCTGCTATTGTCAATACTGATAGAGATGGTAAATATGGTGTCCTCTGCTCCAGTTTATCCGTAGATATGCTTTTGTCTAGATTGAGGTATGTTACGTCAAGCTGTGCCAAGTCAGGCTGTCAAGTTATATCAGGTCTATGTGTGTATGTTTGAGTGCTTTTCAAAACTGCAAAACTGACATAAACAAAGTTTCTTACCTCTCTCCCACGCTCATTCTTGGACATTTTGATCTGTTTAAGCATCTGGGACCGCTGTTCCATCACCAGGGTCTTCTCGTAAGTGTAGGCAGAGATGTCACTGTCATGCTACAATGAAAGAAATGAACAGCTAAATTTTTATTATTCCATTTCTATGTTTTTTTTAACTTTTTTAAACCGGTATATTCATTGCTGCATCCCTTATGTGTAATGCTGTCATATATCAGTCACCAGCTACTTCCTTTTTTCTTAACAGGAATGAGTTTCACCTGGACTGTGTAAAGCAGTGGTCCCCAATCCCCGGGCCGCGGACTGGTACCGGTCCGTGGATCAATTGGTACCGGGCCGCACAAGAAATCATTAATTATTTCCGTTTTATTTATTATCTGAGTATGAACGATCTTTTATTTTGGAAAATGACCGTATTCTCTCGGTTACTTGAGCGCCAAAACTGGCTTACTTGTGGACATATTCATCCTGCTCAATGAACTCAATCTGTCACTTCAGGGGAAAATGACAACTGTCTTCAAGTTGGCAGATAAAGTAGTTGCATTTAAAGCCAAACTGGATTTGTGGGGACGGCGCGTCCACAGAGGCATTTTGGACATGTTTCAAACATTAGTGGGGATTTTGGGTGAGACTGAGCCTGAGCCTTCATTCTCCCAGCTGGTGCACGATCACCTGTCTTTGCTTTTAAAAGAGTTCGAGCGCTACTTCCCAACCACAAAGGACCCACGAACTGCCAAGGAATGGATCCGCAACCCATTTGTCAACAAACCAGGTGAATCCAGCAGGTCTGTGCAAGAAGAAGATCAACTGCTGGAGATCGCAAATGACGGCGGCCTTAAAAGTATGTTCGAGACAACAACTCTGTCGGTGTTCTGGATTCCTGAGATCGTAAACCACAGCACTGAAAACTGAGACTTTGATGTTATACTCATGTTATGTTGTTGGCGCAATGTTACGAGGAAGCTGCTAATAAAGTTGCATACAAGTACACAGTGAATTCACATTTATTATTATATTTACAATATAAACAATCTACGTCACAGTTTTAAATGGGCACACTTGAATGTGGCGTGGAGATCCTGTTGTCATAAAGGACAAATGGAGCACAGTCTTTCCTCCACTTGGAGAATGACAAAAAGAAATTATGGGAAGAATAAAAAATTGAGAGATTTCATAAATTTCCTGCTTAGATTTTTGATCTGTCTCTTTGAGAAGTGGACAGGCATGATAAATTATTTTTGGAAAGTTACAAAAATTGTTGGATGGACCCGCACCTCCCAAAATTCCAGCCTTGGAACGGTGTGGGGGAAGGGGGTTTTAGAAATTGTTCAGCAATCCAAATAAATACTTTGTGTGATTAGAACTTTGTCTAAAGCATAGTGGCACCTTGACATACTCTGTGTTTCATACAGACTGCCACCTGTTAACAGACTGAACAATGCTACTTGTGTTCCCTGGAGCAACTGACCAAGACAAAGACATTGCTGGCTTCTCTTATTTAACCATTGAGCTTCTCAGCTCCACATATTTAATAAGTCAGTCCAGTCTTGAGAAAACTCACCATTTCAACCACTTCCACCATAGCTTCGATACGGAGATGATAGAGGAATGTGGTCAGGTCCTTCTTCATCTGGATGCTGTTGTCGTCCATCTGGGCCACAGTGAAGATGCGCATCTTGCACTTCCTCCAAACCTGAGGAGCAACAACATAATATTTGAGACATCGTGTTCCACTGTTCTCCTCTCATAATCTCTTATTAGTATTCTATGGTGTGATTAGCATTGGGAAACCTGCTTGTCTGGCTAAAAAATTTACTGAGCTGCATCTCAGTAAGTGTTCATATAATCTGAAAGAAACTTGAATCAGAATTTAGTAACCCAGGCCGTACTTTGCTGCTTTCCTTGTTTCTACCACACTAGTAATGTTGGCGTGTTTTGTCTTTTTATACTATTTTTGCTCAGTACCTTGTGCTGGCGGAGCAGGAAGGGGAGCAGCATCAGCATGCCTCCATCATGGACGATCCACCACACGTCGATGTGACCCTCACTGAAACGTTCGCTATTGGATGGAAAGGCCGAGATGTTCTTCGGGACGAGCAGAGCCAGGTGAGCAGCAGTGGTTTCTCTGACCAGTTCTGCAGAACAGAAAAACAGATGCAGCGAGAGATGGTGTTAGCTGTATTACATTAAGAAACTGTTTTCAGAAATAGTTAACACCGGATTTATCACCATTTTAAAGTGTTTTGGTCGACCTCAAAGGGAAGTTCTGACACTGATCTGATTTCAATATGAGCATTTATGTCTATTATGAGCTGTTTTGCAGACTTTCTCTTACTGCATGTTTTTGCATGAAGTATTTTACTCTGCATCAGCAAATTCTCTTCTGTTTGAATATATTCCACTTTTTTTTACATGTTGTACTAGCCGATTAAGGAGATGTTTTGACATAACCCCTCACCAGAGAGGTTAAATAGAGAATGACCTACTCAAAGGTTACACCTAGGGATTCTGTCTTTCTGATATGCTTCTGCAGCACAGATGCTGGACATAAAAAGCAGTTTTTGTTTGGAATCATGTTTGTTTTCTTTTCTAGTAACCCACCAACAAAGTTTTTCCAGGTCTTGTGATCATCTTCCTGCTTCCAGTTGCGAGGCCAAGAGACCAGCACAGCGTTGTGTTTCAGGCCTCCCAGCCCACTGGCTTGGAGTAGGTGGGATGTGGCATCACGTAGGTTTGAGGATACAGTAACTTGACAGAAGCCCTTCACCTTCTCAGTTTCCATCAGTTTCCGCAGTGCCTAGAAAGATATGACAGAGAGAATAACTGTTACAAATGTGCAGAAAACAAGTGAAAACCAGAGCTGTGCTAGTGTCAGACTCGCACTTTGTTTAGAAACTCACCAAAATAACAAAGTATCAGTAAATCATTTAGTATTTCCAAACAGCCATTTGGCCACCATTGCATTCTTTGAGCCCATGTGACTGTGTCTAGAAAGACTACATTTACAGAAGTATTTTGAATGAAAGAACTGTTTTCATTGACACTCCAATAAGCTTAACCATGCATGTGGTCATGTAGTGCATGCAACTCCAGCACTGCCACAAGAAAGGGGGGTGGTGAGGGTCCTGCAGCGCCCCCTAGCCGACACTTAGCAAAAAAAAGATTAAAATCTTTTTTTTGTTTATTTGTTTTTGGTTTAAATTGTGGCCATAGTGGCTTAAAACAGAGGAATATAGTTGTAGAAAAATTGTTTTAAATTATTTATTGAGTAAATGGTTTGTTAAGAAAACTCCTCAGGGAAAGGTTCAGTCCACAGTTAGCAAACAACAATGCTAAACAATAGCAAGCAAGGAATATCAGATTTTTTTTTCCAAGTAACATTATAATTTCATAGAAGACCAAAATTAATGCTACCAATACTAACGTTACTGAGAACATAGATGAAAACAATATTGCTAATGTTAGCATTAGCACCACAGCAGAGCCAGTCACTGCAAGAGAGAGAGAGCAGCAGCGGCGACTGGGAATGAACAGGCCGCTGCCTCTGCCTGTGTTGGAACTACTGGGCCCAGGGCAGCCAGGGACGAAGAGGCCTTTCAAGCCTTCAGATGTAAACCAGAAGGCATCTTATCATGCTCTCAGTTATTAATATGCTAATAAAGTTTGTTTGATTCTGATGAGCTGAATTTTGTGATCATAACCAGCATCACACTTATGCTGTAACATAAATTTTCTGTATGACAATATACATTATTTCCATGCAAAATTTCCTGAAACAGTGTATTATGCTGCACAGCATTTTTTGAGAATTTGAACTGTTAAGACTGTTTTTGATAATTCAAAGCTCCCTACCTGCTCTGCACGGTGGGCCTGGTCATGGTTCTCTAAGTAGGTGCCCTCCAGAGCTGTCCCAACAATGGTTAAACCTTTGCCCGCCTTCAGCTGGTTGGTCAGAGATAACAGACGAGGCTGCTCCACGTTTTGCTCGGTGTCTGTGCTAACCAGCACCAGCAACTGAGGCCTGAAGAAAGGGCAGAGTGGAGGGGAGAAAAATTGAAAATACAGAGGAGAGAAAAGCAGAAGGACAAGCTAGAAAAAGGCAAGAAGAGTGATGAAGTGTCAAATAAAGGCTTTAGGAAAGAAATGGCCAAGTGAGCCAAGTAAAGGTCCTAAATGGGAGCGAGAGACAGTGAAAAACAGCATGAAAGGTTGAGGTGTTAATATGAATTCACACATGCTTTCCATGTTTGACAGCTGTGATAATGAGAATCACATTAATTGAGAGAACGCCTGAACATGTACAGTCATGTTGTTAATTTCCGTGTTAATTAGATCCATAATAAAACAACACACTGTGCTACTTTCTGCTTTTGTGTCCTACCTCCAGTTCTTGGTGTGTGGGGGACCTTCCTCCAGTCGCATGAGAGCGTAACGTGCAGCACTCAAAGACACACCTCGTATCCCATCACCCCACTCTTTCTCCGCCCTGTGACACAAACAAGCACCAATCGTTATTTGTCAGTCAAAAAACAAACAGTAGCATAGTGGCTTCATTCTAAGTGTAAAAAAGTGACTGATATGTTCAGCACTATGGGCTTAATCTTTTTGTTGACAGTTTTACATAGTGCAGTGATTGAGGATTAGGCATCACTGGTAAATGTCAAGTTAACCTGATGTCATTCACCACAGGGAATCAAAGCACATAAATACTCAGTGTGCATGGCTCTGCACTACTCCATTATAAGCATGGACGGATTACTAAACGGGCATTACCAGATATAGGCACAGGGGTTTGAGGCATCAGGTGGCCTTTGAGGTAGAGCCTTTGTTTGAAATGACAATGACATTTCCTTCTGTAAAGTTACAAAGCCCAGTAAAAAGCAGGGCTGTCCTGACCACTTTTTCTTTGCTCCTGATGTTGAATATCTGACAACAAATCCAATCAAAATTCCTGTTTATTCATTTCTTCATATTGCAGCTGTACAGCATACTGAGACTACAGAGAGACGTAACATTACAACAAAAAGAGGCAAAATGACTGCAAAGTGATGGGGAACAACTGCAAAAGAGACACAAAATGGCAACAATGAGATGCAAAACATCCAACAAGAGGCACAAAGTGACTATGGAGAACTAAAATGAATATAAAGACATGTAAAATGATAACAAAGAGATGAAGCATAAGTCTTCCAAAAAAAGAAACAAAATCACACCAAGGAGAGACACAACAACTGCAAAGCAATACAAAATGACTAAAATGACATTGTTTGGAGTTGGTTTAAGTCTCTTTGAGTCTGGGGGTCCTGCTCATATGTAGGAGGGAGGGGGGTCTTTTACCTGTTTGGGGCCCACTGTCTCAATGTATGTCCATGACTATAAAGAGGACATTATGTGTAGCAGGTTTCTTATAGTATATTAGGTCGTTAGCCTGGAAATCATGACAGGAAGTGACGAAAGCCCAAAAGAAATAGTGGAACTACCAAAGAACAAACAAACAAAACCAACTTCCCTTTAAACCCCTAAGCAAAAATGATTCATAGTGTAGACTTGGAAACAGAATAGTACACACACACAGCCAGCCAAAGTCAAAGGCAGCCAACAAATCCAATCTTTCCTGGGGTTGCGCTCCACTCACCCTGCGAATTCAATATACTTGTAGATAGACCCGGCAATTCCCATAGCGACGATGGCGTAGTACCAGGAGCAGAGGAACATGAGAGTGAGACACAAGCTCATCCCCAGGAAGGACAAAGTCCTGTACAGATGGAGTGAGAACGAGGCCCAGTGAGACAAATGTATTTAAGTACAGATAATTGATTTAAAATACAAAAGTCCAGCTGCTCTTTTTCTCAGTAGCTGCTAAACTGACCAGTGGTAGAACTTGAAGCGAGGTCTCCAGTTTGGAGTCCTCAGCAGCGTCTGCACGGCACAGGCCAGGTTCACAAACATATAGCACATCAGGAAAAACCTGCAGGGCACACACAAACACAGCAACTCATTTCATTTCTATGCATCACCAAAGGAGAAAAAAAAGTCTGCTGTTTTGTGTGATGAGCTTAATCCTGAGCCCATAAAATTTCCCATTTGCATCATTCAAGGAATAGCAGGAAACTGGCTGCTGTGAAATCTCCCACTGTTGGTTCTTAAAAATTGCAGTAAATTGGAGAGTTTGTTTCAGTTCTCACATGGAGAGGATAGGAGCCACTGAATCCAGGGAGGCAATGAGGATGCCACTCTCGCAGATACATGCTGTCAGCAGGAGGGACCATGTGGGTTCTCCGTTGGCTTTCCCATGGCCAAAGATCTGCAGGAACCACACAGAAAGCACATTAACACTACTGCTATCTAAAAGTCCTGTCTCATGAAAGACATTAAAAAGGTATGATATGTTCACAAGTACACAGACTGACCCGAAGGGCGGGTACGATGCCGTCCTTAGCTATGGCCTGTAGGAGGCGAGGAGCTCCTGTCAGACTCTGGAGCCCTGCTCCACATGTGGAGAAGAAGGAGCCGATCACGATTACCCACGGTGACGGCCAAGCTAATGTGCCAATAACCAGGTTACCGTGCACTCCCTCCCCGAACCTAAAGGAGATGAAGTATGCTTGCCATTTCAAACACATGAGATCTCAGCTTTTTGTTGCATTATTAACAGTAATCACAACATAAAAAGAATAATCAGTGAAGAATCAGAAGAATAAAAATCTTACTTGTCTCTGAGGACCACACCCTCGATGCAGGCACCAAACAGAACCACACTGGACATGTCTAAGCAGTTATGGCTTAGGAAAGTAATTTATCCATTTTTAATACAGACAGGTGTAGCATGTTTCAAATAATGGATATTTGGTTAGCTGGCCTGAATATTCTAAGTTCCAGATAAGTGATTGGCAGGACTTGATTATAAAAATGATAAAGCTTTCCTTTTGAAGATGCACTCAATGAGCTGATAAACCACTTAGCTATAGCTTCTGAGAGTTGATTTTGTTTAGGATAATATCTCAGAGATAAATGTCTTCGTAACTAATATCCTTCTGCTTTATTAACTTGCAGTAGCATAGGCGGCCCATTGATGCAGTTAGAAGTCCTAATCAAATTTGGGTAGACATCGCTACTTCAGAGGAGGAGGCCTGAAATCGCATCAGCCTATATGTTGCAGTGCACGTGTAGCAGCCGCCTTAGCTCAGTTTCAGTTCAATTTAGGATATAAGAATCCTAATTTTAAAAAAATTTCCAACACACTATGAGAATGCAAAGGAACAGTTTGGAAGAAAAATAAAGCCTTAGGTGTGTCTGAAAAATATCAACAGCATTTTTTAATTCTGGTTAATAACATTACAAAAGCAGAAACAAATATATAAGATACATTATGATGATGGAAAGCTCTTTGAGTGGCAAAAATGAGCTTATATTCAAACTGTGATTCATCAGAGAGTAAACATCGTCTCCCATCGGTGATAAAGGCCAGTCAGAAAAACAAGGAATGTCTCCTCATCAAAATCAGACTGGTATTGTAACAGTTATGACCTTTCACTATTTAAAACACTGCCTTGTATTTATGGTGATCCCTACAGGCCAGCTAACGTGATTTTATTGTAGCAGAGCAAAGCACCATATCACAGCTTCTAGTCCTGTTTACATGCGAGTCAAAAACAGGCATTAGTGTAAATGTTTAAATTGTGTGGAAGACGACATTTGAAAAAAAACGTGTTCTTTGGAGTTGCTTGTTATTCTGCAGGTGGTATTAGTGAGAGGATACAGACGGCAGAGGTGGTGCTAATGGCTGCGATTGTTCCAACAGGGATAGACTTCTGGGCATCACGCAGATCTCCAGAGCGGTTGGAGCCAGCCATGATCCCTGACAGTCAAGAAGAAATCTATTACAGAAATCTGTCTTACCATTTTACTGAGTTACACCAAAAAAAAAAAAATGTTTATAAAAGTTTTTCACCTGTCACAGAGGGGAAGTAGATGCCAACCAGCAATGTAAAGAAGCTGGTGATGTCAGCCAACACGTAGCGATTAATGCTGGTCAGAGGATCATCCTGGTCTTCCGCTGACTCCATGTGCCTCCTGCCAACCAGGTCCCCCTTCTCATAGTAGGTCCCAAACAGATTGTCTGGATGGGTTAGAGGAACGTAGCGTGGGTGAATGTTCCAGTCCATTTTGCACATTTTATGTCTGGCTTAACCAAATCTAATTAATGAATGCACTTTGTTTTTCAACAATCACCACAGAATGAGCTTTATCTTCACATGCAGTATCCAGTCAACGGACTGAGCAGCAAAGATGGAACCAGAACAGTAAGAGCAAGAGACAGCTGTTATTTCCAGTTTAAAAAAAGTAAGAATTGCACTTTTTCAAACTGTAATACAGTGAAAATAGATTTTCTTTTCCATGTCTGCTTTCTGTAAGAAATAAACACCCATTTTACTGCAACCTGACAATGATTTGCTTCTATTACACTAACGTTTAGAACAAAATGTATCAGCGACAGCTTTCCACATTCATTTTATTATTGCTTTTGATAAACTGCCAACCAGTATGCAATTTGTGTAGCAGTTAGGTATTTTGATATCAAAGTATGCTGATAAGATTTCTCACCTTAAAAGGAAGCAAGCGGGAATAATTGAAACATTAACATTAAGTGTAACATCGTTCATTCCCTATTCTTACTCTGGCTGCCTGGTTCATCGAATGAGAACTTTTCTTTTACCTCCTTTGCAAAGGTAAATGAACTGGGGGATGTGGAAAGTTGAGATTTTAAAATGACTTAAGATAATGTTAGCATAATGTTCGCATACATTAGCAACCTAGCTTGCTTGTTCACCAGTCATTTATGTTGACAAAGTAAGTTATATTGTCCATTAAACATGCATTCATAATATTAATTATCACAGCCAAACCCGTAATCTTAATGAACATCATGGCACCCCCACTGAAGAAAAAGGTGAGTACACATGCTGCAGAAATTCCTTGAGAATTACTGAGAGATGGTCATGCCTCCACATCTCTAGACTTCTCCTCTGTACTTTCTGCACAACTTGCAGTACTGATATTGACATGAGTAATCAAGGATCCGCAGGTTAATAACTGAACATCATCACCCCTCTAAGGTGGTAAGACTTTCTTCAAGGTTGGCAGGTCTGCAACTGGTTTTTGTAAAACAGAAAGAAGCTCAGAACTATAAGTGACACATACACAACCTGTATTAGGACAACATTTGCATCTGCATTCATGTGTATAGCCAACTATGCATTCTTAACGAAAGCACCTTCCTTTGAGGAGAGAATTCCACTGCCATCATGAAATGATCGGTGACTAACACCAAACCAACCTGTCATGATTCCACTGGTGATCCCTGGGATGCCCTGGATCTGAGTCACATTGTTGCGTTCAAAATACTTGTCACAGGTAGCATTGAGGAAGGGTGAATCACAGAATATACTCCACAGCTTGGTGGTAACTGTGCCGTTAGCCGTCTCAATGGTCTTGGCACACACATCGAAGCCCTTCCACACCAAAGTACGGTTCCCCAAGATACATACACTGTGGAGAAGAAACACACAACATGCGTGTCGGACCATTATTGCAGTAGTTGATGTGTATTTCAGTGTAAGCAAATTGTTTTGACTTTTTCAGTAAAGATTCACAATATTAAACCCAAAAAGTCACATTGTGTCTGCGTTTTTATTTGCTTCAATCCAGTTTGATTACTTTAGTGACTTAAAGTACAGCAGCCCTACAGAAGCACTTAAGAATGTACTTTATTTTAAATTTCAAACTTCAGCCTGAACCAACAGTAGCTTCTCAGGAAGCACTGATTTAGTGATTTTGCGGGCCAAAACATCTAGATGTTGATTAAAAATGTGCTAAAGTGGGATGAAAAGTGGACATCTAGGTCACACATAACTGTTGGCTCATCGGCTTTTTAATGAATATTTAGTTAAGCAGGTTCTAACTGCATGTTGACATTAAAATCACTGACATGACTTTGCACAAAAATTTGGTGCATCATCAATTCACCTTTCAACCAATTTTAGCTTAGTTTCAACTTCCAAGTCTAGAACTTTTGGGACCTGAATATCATAAAGTTGATGCTTACTTTGTCAGTATGAAGTGTAGTATCATTGGTTCATGGAGCTCTGAATACCAGAAACATATCAAAGCAGGCACTGCTTGTCTTTCTTCATCAGCTTAGGTAGTGCAAGTGTATTATGCAGTATATGTTAGTTTGCGTTATGGTAATGTTTTCTGGCTACACGTATAATCTTTTGGACCGTTTGGTGGTCACTGCTTACGGCAAGTCAGGAGGCTCGATGGCAGTCTTGATGACCCCGGCGTAGACGGCCAAGATGGAAAGAATAACGCAGGCCAGAAACACCAGGGCCAACTTGTTGACGTATTTTACGCCGACAAACACCACCGTGGCCATGGAGGTCAACAGGATGGTCCCGTACACACGCATGCTGTTAAGCAGAGCAGCCTCTGCTTCGGGACCTTCCAGGCCCTCCAGGGGAAAGATGGCTGCTTTGGGCACGATGTAAATCTGAAATGGAGAGGTTACATTACTTTTTTTTTTACCTTCAATATATCTATGGAAAGCATACCTGCATTTTTGTCATAGAAGTTAAAACATTCTCATTGTTGCTCAGGGGCATTTTGGTGGCAGTTGTTTAGGGAGTACATGTGTTACTCATCCACTCTCCCTCTTCACATTTCCCAGCCCTGTCGGGGGATTTAAACTGACAGATTTCAGCTCACAAGCCTGTTCTGCTAGCTTACCAATTACTGCTGGACTTTTTTAAATTTCACTCGGGGAAAAAAAAAGGAAATATAATGATAGAGAGGTGAGAAAGGCAGCAAGGGATGAAGTGAGCGAGGAGGACAACTGTGGTGTGTGAAAACAAGATGCTCACATTAACAGTCCTCTACAGTGAACATAATACTGGCTACTATTTAAATTCAGTTTAATTAAAGCAAGCAATGAATAATATTCAAAATTACCTGCTATTACACTTTTACTACGGGTCAACCTAAGAATAGACCTATCATATATAAAATGGTAAGTCGCTAATTAGCCTGTCAGTATCTGTCATCATCTTTCGATGATTCATGGCGAGGCTCTTACATAAGTATGGGAACTTCTCTTCTTTTATATAATCATTTGGTTTCCACCTAAACTGTTTAACCACCAGAAAGAGCAAAGAACACTGAGAAGAACATGCAGGGAGTCGTGGCTCAGTTCAGTCATTTAGCTGGAGAAACTGATCCCATACTAAGAACAGCATAACAGTAGGCAAACAAATCTCCTGCTTTCGTTTGAACTGTTCATGTTCACAGTGAAACAGCATCAGTTTGTTTTCTTGGATTGGGTGAAAGGATGAAACATATTCAAATGAGCCTTCTCCTTACAATTCTGCAGGGATTGTTATTTTACAATGGAAATTAAGCCAGCTTTGACCCAGAAGACAAAAATAACCTCCAAACATGATCAAACTCTAGAGGCATCCAGAAGGAGAATAAGAAGAGAGTAAAAACACACACACTGGACCCAGAGTGATGAGAGCTGTTTCAAGGAATGGTCTTGTTACTTCGCCAGTATCTTTAGCTTTCGCTAATGCAGTATTTGCATAATTACCCAGTACTCCATGCAGCATGGAAGACTGCAGTGGAATAAAAGGAAGAGGAGAAGGAGAAGGACAGGAACGAAGACTGATATGAAAGATCCCTGCATTTCATCAGCTGACCAGAATTCACACTAAAGAACATTCGGCTTGAGAAAAGATGGCTTCAAAGCACAGTGAGGAGGAGAACACACCGAAGGCAGCAGAACTCCATGTTCACAAGGGCATGTGGCACATAGCAGTGCCGTGCAACACTGTTTTCATTTTGTGTTGAAAGCACATGCACCATTAATTTAACTGCATTTTGGTGCTAGAATTATATAGTGATAAAAACTGTCCCTCGATTGTACTCTGCCCAATTTGACTTAGAGAAAAATCAATGGAGCATGAAAAAATAACATTTTAACTGGTTTTAACCACAGAACTGGTGCTCACATCTTTTGTTAGGTGGGATTGCTGCACCAGCATCTTATGTTCTCCTACATCTGTAAACCTTTGGCCACATCATTTTTATTCCTCCCCCCCCCCCCCCCCCCATTCATTACCTCTACTCTCATTACTAGTATTTTTGACAGTACTAGTACTTTTTAATACTACTACTATTTTTAACATTAACAACAGATAGATTAACCTTCTTGGTAGAATGTTTTTACTCTTCATTCCTTTCATCATTTTTCCCTATTTGATTTGATTTATTCTTTCAAGCATGTAAAGACAGTTGATATATCAACACACATAATTTTACACATATCCAACAAATGCTAATCCAATATCAATTTGCTTATACCTAGTACATGCTTGAATGGAGTAGGAAGAAGTCAGACTTATCCAGTCCTACCCCATGACATCATCTTACCATCATTGGTTTGCAAGCAGTATCTCTACATAAATAATTATCTTCTACACCACACAAGTAATATACTAAA